CCAAAGTCTGCTTCTTGCTGCTCCAAGAGATGAAAGAATCGCCCAAGAAAAAACAGAAACCAACGGTCGAACGACGATCGGTAGGGTCCTCAGCCAAATTAACATCAGAGTAACCACTGAGTGTCAAAGAGGAGTGAGATGAAAAATGTAAACCATGCAGAAGAGTACCTTTCACTTAGAGAAGAATATGTAAAACAACAAAGTGGTGAGAGATCCTCGGACCAGCCATGAACTGACTCACAATATGGACTACATGAGCAATATCAGGTCTAGTAACTGTAAAATAGATCAAAATCCCAACAAGCTGACAATATAAGGTAGGATCATCAAGGAGAGAGGCATCATGAGGTGTAATTCGAATGTCATAGGCTAGTGGTGTAGAGGCTACCTGATAGTCTGTAAGACCAGCTCGAGAAATAAAATCGGAGGCATACTTAGCCTGAGACAAATAGAAACCATTGGGAGAATCAGAGACCTCAAAGTCCCAAAAAATAACAAAGGGGACCCAAGATCTTCATCTCAAACTGCTGACTACGATAAGCATGTAGATCAGAAATACAAACACATCATCTCCAGTGATGATCATATCATCAACATAAAGCAAGAGGATAACTATCCGTAAGGAAAAACGATGAAGAAATAATTTGGAATCGTACGCTGATGTGGTAAAAACAAACTCCAAGAGCGCAAAGCTAAATATGGCATACCAGGCCCAAGCGGCCTGCTTTAACACATATAAAGCGCGGCGTAAGCGACAAACCATTCCAGAATACGGGAAATTTAGAGGATGAGTCATATAAACTTCTTCAGAAAGAGTGCCATGTAAGAATGCATTCTTGACATCTAATTGAAAAAGGGACCAACGACGAACAATAGCAACGGCAAGAAGGCAATGAACAGTAGTGAGACGGGCAACAGGGGCAAAAGTCTCATTATAGACAACTCCATATTCCTGAGAATAACCCTTAGCCATCAGACACGCCTTGTAGCGCTCAACGAAACCATCATTATTCGTCTTGACTTTGAAAACCCACTTGCTTCCAATAGGTGTCTTGCCAAAAGGCAAATCCAATAAATCTCAAGTGTGAGTCTTTGCCATAGCCTATAATTCCTCAGTCATAGCTTGCTTTCATAATGGATCGGCACTCGTCTCATGAAATGACCTAGGCTCATGATTAGATAATATGGTAGAGTAACAATGATAATCACGCAAATGAGCAAGAGAGTGACTTACTTGATGTGATCGATGAGGTATGACAGGTCCAGGGACCACAAACGGATCAACATCTGGAGACAAGGTTGGATGTGGATCAGAAGCCTCAACTTGACGTTAATCAGAAGCCTCAACTAGAGGTGGATTAGAGGTCTCAACTGGAACATGATCCAAAGGTGGAGATGCATCCGAAGGATCAGTATCAGGAAACAGGGAAGGACATGTTGACATGAAAGAAAGTGGACCAGAAATATATGAGACATGAAATTTAGACATGATGGAAAACATGACACTCTCTCACAAGGTAACATGACAAGATATACGCAACCATTTGAAGATCAGATCCCAAAGCCTATAGCCTTTATGTACCCCATAACCAAGAAGACAATATAAACGCGCACGAGGTTCCAATTTGAAACGTTCATGGGGAGGGATAAGGACAAAACCGACACAACCGAAGAGACGAAGGGTATTATAATCGGGTGGCTGACCATATAGACTCTCGAAAGGGGTGTTATTATGGAGGACATATGATGGAATATGATTTATGGTATAGACAACAATGAGAGCAACTTCCTCCCAAAACCTATCAGGACAAGAGGCAGACAAAAGGGATGCACAAACATTATCTAGAATGTGACGATGTTTGCGCTCAGCGTGAACAGTTTGCGGGGAGGTGTATGGACAGGAACACTGAATCATTGTACCTTGAGCAGAAAGAAACTTTAATAAAGTAGAATCTTTACACTTAAGACCATTATCAGTAAGGAGGTGTAATACTTCTGAAGTTGGGCCGGTGCCCTAGAGTAATTTGAAGATGGGTGACCCCCTTAAAAGTCTCCCAGAGTACACGTAAGTAAGACAAAAGTGCATTGGAAGAACTCGTGTTGACCTGTGGAGCCAGTCTACGATCCCGACACGCCCGGCTTTGGGTGGCTTGCGGGCCGGGGTGTCACATGATAGTCTGTATTGGATAGGAAAATTAAGTTTCTATCATTGAGCACCTTGAATGTATGTTTGAGGTAATTATAAGTTGTGTTTCAAAAAATATATCCATGTAAAACGGGAGTAATCATCTATGCAAATGACATAATAACAACACCAACTCATAGAGGTAACAAGGGAAGGACCTCAAATATCAGAATGAACCAATGAAAATTGTTTACTTGCGACTGACATATTTTCTGAAAAGGATAAGGCTGGTTGGTTTTCAAATGACAGTGTAAGCAATCAAATAACTGAAAACGAGTAGAACCCAAATGACCCTTACAAAGGAGAGACTGAATTTTAGAGAAGGACGACCAAGATGAAGATGCCATTGAAGACTAGGGGAAGGAAGGGTAGTAAAAGGGGTATGAGTAGTAGCAGCAGAAGAAATTACTTTGAGGAATTTTCAAAGATTGTACCTTAAATAGTTCACCCACTTTTTGACCTATCCCAAGAATTTGACCTGTACGTGGATCCTAAACCTGAACACCAAAAGAAAAAAAAAAGTAACAGTAAGTCCTTGCTCAACTAGTTGGCCAACTGAAACAAGATAAAGTCAATTGAGGAATGCAGTAAGTATTATGAAATGATCTAAATGGTAGAGGTATAGATCCTGAATGAGTGATATCCATGCGACCCCCATTACCAATATGTATAGGCAATGAAGAAAACCCAAGATGTGCATCGGTCAAGAGGCCAAGTGTAGGTGTCATATGATGGCAACAACCGAAATCAGAATACCACAAATTGTCCATGACAGAAGAGAAGTTGGAAGCAATAACTTGATGCAAGAGAGTTACAATATTCTAGACCGAGGGAGCCATCTTGGCAACAGCAAAAATTAAAATTACAAAATCAAGAAAGTAAATTGAGAAATTCAACCGATAGCACACGCAAAACGAGGTGGTCCCAACAATGGTGGTGGTGAAGGAAAAGCTTTTCCGCCGTGATTCACATTGGCGGTGAGTGAGGGTTGCGTGCGCGGCCGTTGGCAGCAATATTTGGGTGGCAGGCACGGCGGATGGCGGCGAATAGCGGCGGCGGCTAAGGTTTCGTATTTTAATATTTGGCTTTGATACTATGTTAGATTTTGGGGAAAAATTATTAACATGTACTATTAATCATCAAAATAAGAGGCTTATTTATAACAACACAAGACGGACTCGATATACTCAAATATAAGTAATATAATCTACGAAATCTAAAATTGAATATCAAAATTATATAAGTAATATAATCTACTAAATCTAAAACTGAATATCAAAATTATCTAAATCTAACATAATATCAAAAACATATAAATCTAACAAACATATTTCTGATATTGTCAGTTTAAGTGTTGCCTATATATATTTTGTGGGCTATCAACACTGTACTGACTAATTAGAGTCAACATATTAACAACCTATTATAGTATTAGTTTATCTGTCCATCAAAATTATGTAATTATTCATTTTTTTACCGGTTCTCTAAACTTATGCACATTTCATTTGTAGTAACAACTTTTATCCAGCCACAATTTTATTACCATTACTTTAACAAAGAATGACTAACTTATAATTACGTTGTCTATTTACCTTACTACTTTTTTATCAATCCTTTAATATTCTTTCAATAATACTGCTAGTTTACTTTTTATCTACTCTACTTTAACATTAAAATATTACCCAACGAAACTTACAAGTATTTTATTGGATGGATAGGGTATTATTTAAATGATCTTAAACACGAGATAAAAATGCAACAAAAAATTCAGGTTTCAAGCAAAGTCTCGTATGTTTTCCTGATACCAAACAGAAGTCTATCAAGCAACCCAATACTCTTTGCTACAGATCTAAAAAATTCTTACATATTTAGTACTTGCAGGGCACAAGTAGAACAAAGACTAGCTGGTTAATGGTTATTGTACAATTTGTTAATATTTCCGGTATGTGGCTGATGGAGTAGGGGCGTGCGGATTTTTCTTATGAGCAGCAGTTTGTTAGATGTTTGTTGATGTCCGAGAGCAGGGACTTTTCTAGCTTGTTATTCTGCAATTGATTTTTAAGCATTACAAAACAGGTTATGGATGATGTATCTTGCGGAGTCTTCTGGCCTTACTAAAAAAACTGTTTTCGACTACAGCCGGAAAATCGTAACAAAAAGCTATTTTTCGTACAATTTGCGTATTTGCTACCCCTTCGTTACGACTTTTTTCCGTAATGTGTACTCACGTAACGAATATTTTTTGCCACGCCATTTTTCGTAACTATTATTGTCGGTCAACGCCCCCTAATGCAGGGTTTTTGTTACGCTGTTTGTTATGAATTTTCTCTCGTAACCAAATGTCGATCCATCTGCGTGTGTCAGAGCTTTTAGTTACGATATTTGTTACGAAAGGTCGTCGCGTTACAAAAATGTTCCTGTGATCGCTTGTCTTATTTGGTTTTTGTTACGAATATTTGTAACGACATTGAACCCGTAATAAAAAATATACTTTCTTATAGTCACGGAACAACCTGAAACAAAAAATATCCAAGGACCACTTTTTGTCACGGTATTTCATCCTTTTGTTACGCAGAAATAGCATGCTATGAAAAATAGTAGTTACACTGCAATTGAAATTGTGCGTAACAAAATGACCTGTTGTGATCTCCCCAATACCGAAAGAAATTCTGTATACACATAATGCTATAAACATCATCATTGGCAATACTTGAAAACATTAATTCATAGTAAAATCTAAATCCCAACATTAAGGCACATGGACACCACAGTTTTTACTGGACAATCTCCATACCTAACAACGAAGTAAAGCAACCTATAAACCAAGCCTAGCAAGCACTACACAGCAACATCTTGTTCCGCAAAACGGGCTTAACAGTTCAAACACCAAACCTAACAATAAGCAAGTACGGATATCCATCAATCCATAACCACATCTTTCACCACACGAATTAAAACTCCAATGGTCTATGCATCCATTCCACATATCGTTCACACAGCCTCAATCCATCCAAAAACAGGTATGACATACAATCTATAAGACAAACGGGGCAACTAACATGGGTGAATCGGTAGATACGCTTCAGGGGCGGCGTATGAGCTGCAATGGCTAACACAAAGATTAGTTTAAGTCATATTTCTTATAAATTTTGGAAGGCAATACAAGAAAGGTATGAAAGTAGATCCGTACGTCCTTATAGTTCCACTCAATAGGATTTTAACCAACGACATCGCGAAGGATAGTCGCCCCAGCAATGGTCGGCAAAATAAAGGATGCGTCCGGGACTGAGGCGGATGTCACGAAGACCTTGACCAGGGAAAGTGTGTCACCTACAGCATCCACAAGTGCAATTTTTGACTATATTGAGCCATAGATATCAATAGACGTTCAAACTGTATGTATAACATGCCATAACACAGACATTAGAAGTGTAAAGCTTTGCAACTAGAACAATACGAGTATGTATATTCAGACATGTGTACAATACATGGTATTATATCCATGAATTAGGTACCAAAGCACATTATATCCTAATTTCCTATGTGATTGCAGCTCGATCTATAAACCAATCATCCTCCAATAAACAAATGTAAACCAGCAACATCATGTACACTATCAAATAAAAAAAAAAATTCAAAATTCTATATCCATATGACAACCCGCAAATGGGAGGGCTCCATTTATGTGTCGTAGTACTATGTCTCAATGAGATTAACTACCATTTATGCACTAAATACGAGCAGACATCCGCAGATGCAGTTACAAGTTCAGAGTACCGATCACTGATATATCAAATTATATGTACCAAACTCATCACTAACAAGAGATACGCCTTGGCAGCAAGGGACTACATAGGATTTCAATAATAAAGTCAACTTTCAACATTTTTGGGGAAAGTCATAGTGTACCCAAATAGTGTAATAGCACCGTAGCCATAAACAATGTGATGTAAAAGATAAAAAATACCTGACCAGCACAGGAGTCGGCATAATACCACAGAGTTTACTGCCGCTATAAAAACAGTGTACATAACACAAGAAAATCCATATATCGTAACATTGTATATGTCTAGACTCAAGAAAACCATGATCATTTGCAGTATGAGGCCCGAACGGTCACAAAACCTACGATCCCTCGCCGAGGCATATTAAAAGTTCAAAAAAAACCTTAAGACAATGGCACAAACCTGGCGCAGGGGGGCAGAGCAGAAGTCCCTTCGCAACAACTTTTTTCTCACCGGTGCGGGATAATAGAAGCACACGCGTGCCGACCTACAACAAAACATTACAGATGAGTTGGAAACGTAGTAGGCTATCAAGAGTAGCCTAAATTAGGCACTGCATTGATTACTAAGAAACTTCATGGTTTGACGGAATCATACCGTCAGACCTGGCTCGGACACAGGCCTGGGAAGCTCAGAGATTGAATCAATACGAGATGTGCCCTATCATTTATGCGCATATCATGGTAAATTCCCATACACCCCAAATTTAAAAGAATAAATTTATCTCATCGGTTTCCATAAAATGCATTTTATGTCTTTAGAAGTCCATGTTCTCTACATATGAACATAACATAACCTTCACCAATATAATAGGAAACATGGATGCTATATATGACACTGGCATTATACTTTATCATAGCATTAAGCTACATGGTTTAAGATAAGCAGTCCTCCCCACTTTAAAACCTTATATGGATGCCCCCTAAATAGTATTAAATGGATTTCTACTCCCCGTCACAAATTCTGATCGGCCATTTGTAGACACAAGGCAAATTTCTCACTATTCTAAATTTATTACAGTAAAACTAAGAAGAAAATACAACGATGTGGATGCTAGAGATGAAGGATATGTAATGCTATTACATCAAATTTAATATAATTAAGTAAATAATTACTTAATTACTAAAATATTACATTACATGCAGTTCTTGCCTTATGTCCACACAAATATTAGAAGTGGCAAACATATGTTTTACCATTGTAATTGTGAAAGGTAAATCTGATGGAAATTCATTAAGCATGTACTTTGAGTTAATTTTCAATGCATAGATGTGTTTTGAAATGATGAAATTGAATATGTTATTCAGTTGGTGCAGATCGATGAAGAGAGTTTCCCGTGCTGAAGGATAGAATTCATGGTGATGATGATTTTCAATCATGCCGACAAGGAACATTGGTCCTCTCTATGTTGATTACGCCCCAAGTAGAAACCCTTTAAAACAAATATGAAGTAATTCTGAAATCTGATGGAAAAACAATATTTCAGATTCATGGTAATGCACTTAACACTTCATTGCACCACCCACCCAATAAACAAACATCACAGAAAAGTTTCTACACAGTGGCATAGCATCAAAAACAAAGCAGACCTTTTGTTAAACTCAAAGCTGGGTATCCTGAATGAGCACAGCACGCCTGCGTTGACACACGGTCACTTCCTATAAAAAAACATAAGTTAAACATGCACTAATTTTCAATGAAAACAGCGCAAAGTACTACATTAATTAAACATGCACTAATTCACAATATGAATTCTCTCTTGTAGGACTGAATTAGAACCATATATACCAGTTTTAGGACTCCATAGAAGATTTCATGGAACCAGTAACTAGCAGTGATGCAAGATATGACAATTTAACAGATCAAATCGGTGATATCAAAATTTCTTATAAGTCAATCATTCACATAGTACCTACTTATGACTATTCTACAGGTTTCAACACAACCCTACTGTTGTTTATGCAACTCCAGATTGAATAAAATAGGGGAGATGGGATCTCCTCGTCTGAGGCCTCGGGAGGATTTAAAGAACCCACAGACAGTGCCATTAATAAGTACAGAGAACCAACAATTATCCACACAAGCTCGGATGCAGTTGATGGATGAATCCCTAAACCTCAACTTGGAAAACACATCACATAGGAAACTCCAATTAACTCTGTCATAAGCTTTTTCCATGTCAAGTTTCGTGATGAGGTTATGTGCTTTGTGACGGCTGTTGAGATCATGAACCATTTCAGTCGCAAGTAAGATATTATCAGCAATACTCCGCCCTTTGATAAATCCGCTCTGAGTCTTGGATATCATGGGAGGAATGATGGAGGCTAATCTTGTACACAAGATTTTGGATATGATCTTGTTAACCACGTTGCACGGCCTGAAGTTGTTCCAGTAAATAGGGTTATCGACTTTAGGCAAAAGGTTGAGGGTGGAGGCAGTAAAACTTCTCGGGAGGGGAGAGCCAGCGAAGAATTCTCGGATCGCAGCAATAAGATCTTCATGGATAATGTCCCAACAATGTTGATAGAAGAGGCTAGTAAAGCCATCAGGTCCAGCAACACTATCCTTGTTAATTGCAAAGACTGCACTTTTGATTTTCTGAAGGTCCGGAGTACTGCAGATTCTGTCATTATCATCAGAGGAAGCTTCATGCTGGAAAAGATCAGGTGGAGCGTGTCCCGAACAGACCTTTTCATCTGTTAAGAGGTTCTGAAAATATTGTCATGCGGAGGTTTTGATTTTTTCCTGAGACGTAATGTGCCGGGAGCCTTCTGTAATGAGATGCATAAGGCTTCGCTGTCTTCTTCTTTTAACTAATGCATGGAAGAACTTAGTATTTCTTTCTCCTTCAACAATCCATCGACATGTAGCTTTTTGCTTTCACAACTCTTCTTCAAATGCTAGAGCACGAGTAAGCATAGCATTGCATCTGTTAAGCTCAATGAGATTGGCCTCTGATTGTTGCTGCTCAAAAGTTCTTTCACTGTTGAGAACATCCTGTTAAGCTTTGATCAACAAGTGGAAAACATTCCCAAAGATGTTCTTATTCCACCATTTTAGATGCTGCTTCAATCTGATAAGTTTATGTTGGAACTTGATAAGGCCGTGAGTTCCAGTTGGGGTATTCCAGTTGATTTCCGCAGTTTCAAGGAAATTATGATGTCTGACCCACATATTTTGGAATCTGAAGGTGGAAGGTACCTTTAGATATTGCCATGAGATACAAATGAGCAATGGGGCATGATCAGAAGAAGTTCTTGGTAGATGAGTGACACGGGTTGAAGATACAAAATTCAGCCAAACGGTATTAAAGAAAAACCTGTCCAATGTGAACAAACTTCCTTTCACATTCATGAGTAGACCTCAATTTTGGCGAAACGGTATTGTTAGTCCATGTGAACAAACCTCCTTCCAATGTGAACAAACTTCCTTTCACAAAATTCAGCCAAACGGTATTGTTAGTCCATGTGAACAAACCTCCTTCCAATGTGAACAAACTTCCTTTCACAAAATTCAGCCAAACGGTATTGTTAGTCCATGTGAACAAACTTCATTCGAAACCAGCATCAAAGATGTTGCAATTGGAGATCATCACTGCAAATTCATGAATAGACCTCAATTTTGGTCTTCCAGGACCCTTCCTTTCAGAGAGATTTGAAATGGCATTGAAATCCCCACCCATAATCCAAGGTTCTGTTGGTAAAGAGCCAGCCATAATCTGAAGTTTGGACCAGAGATCTCTTCGGAGGTTAATACTGCATTTAGCATATACAGCGGTAAGCCAGTATGGACTATAAAGCCAGGGGTCCAGGATCTTTAAATGAAGGCACTGGTCATGATCAATGATGACCTGAAAATCAATTTGTTGTTGGAACAGGATCCAAATCTTGTTAGACTGGTTATAACAGATTTTGTCAAAACCAAAACATCTACAGAAGAAGGATTCTTGACAGCTCACCATTGGTTCCAAAATGATCAGAACCTGAATGCGTTCTCTTTTACAAAGTCTATGAAGATTTTTCCAGAGAAACCATTTGACTTTCTTCTTGTAAGAGGAGTTGAACAATTCAGCACATCAACCTCAATAAGGTCAGGGGGTTGGGAAGTTGTGTTGTAATCTTCATCTGACTTGTAAAGACGGGAGGGAGGGAATATCTGAGGATTAAGGATATGTTTGTGGGGATTGGCAGGGGTTGTGGAGTTTTTAGAGTATGGAGAGCTTGAGGGGAAAAAAGAAGGATAGTTATGTTGAGGTTGGGGGCAAGGCTGTTGTTTGGGATCAGGAGTTTGCTCAGAAGGTTTTTGCAGGCTACCTTGTAAAGTAATATGTTCAGGCGGGGAGTGGTTTACAGGGAGGAAACCATTATCAAGATCATCCAAAAAATTGGAATTTTCATCTGAAAATTCACTAGATGAGGTGTTATCTGAGCTTTGAGATGAAGGAGAGTTTCCATTAGCATTTGGGGTTGGATTTGGCTGCAACTGATTATCCCATAAAGCTGAAAATTGATTAGCACATTGGATTTGGCCATGGAAAGTAGGTTTAAAAGGGGACTCCTTATTATGATTAGGCCTCAGAGAGTCTTCCAGAGTTGCCTTCATATCAACTTCAATTCTTTTCCCTTTCTTTTTTGTATGTAAGAGGTGCCGAAGATCCCCACTGTTTAAACCCATTGGAGCAGTTTGAGTCTTCATTAGTATCAACATTGTCCTGAACCCAAGTAGTGTTCACCTTATCCATTCCAGTAAGGTCCTCCTTAGTGAAGCCTTCTTTATGTTGGGATTTATCTCCTGGAATCTGATTTTCTTTTTTCTTTGCAAGAAGCTTCTTAGATCCTTTTGTTTATGTCCAAAATTCTCCTTATTACTTGGATTCGAGACAAAATTAGTCGATGAAGCAAGATATCCTTCCAAATCATGTCCCAGATGCTTACAAGAGTCACAATATTTCGGCACTTTCTCATATTCCACTTGTTGTTCCTATTCAACTCCATTAATGAGCAAATAGATTTTTTCGATCAGAGGGCGAGACACATCAATTTCAATACAGGCTCAGGCAGCTGAAATTCTAGCCTTGGAAGCTGTTGGCGTATCCACTTTCAGGGGGTACCAATCAGTGAGGCAATGGAAAAAAGAGCACCCCTCTGGAATAATTGGGCAGGAATAACAGGGAACTGAACTCAAATTGGAACAATTGGAGATTCGATTCTAGGTTTAAAAGAAGGATTCCATTTCAAAACTCTCATAGGGAAGCCTCTCGAGTCCAAATCCGAGTGTAATCCTCCTCATTGGCAAGGCGAATCAAAATATGTTTAAAATTGATTCGTAATAACTTGAATTCCCCGTTGAACTTGAGATCATTGAATGTATCCTGTAAATCTTTCCATGAGGAATATCCTTGAGAGAATTTTCCAACCATCGAGAACTTGAAATCAATTGACAGAAGAGCAGTCTCCTCATTTGAAAATTCCAGCGCAAGGCAATTGTGGAGTTGAGTAGTAGAACCAATAGTTTTTGGGTAGGAAATGGAAAGAAAATAATTGGTTGAAAAGGGATGTTGTTTGTCTAGAGGGTTCGGAGGATGGTTGGCAACGACTCTAGCAAAGGAGTGACGAGCAGGAGGCTCATCACCCATCTTAAACAACAAGACAGAAACACAAACACCTTAACCCATACTGATCCCAGGTTAGAGTCGAACAGGTGCAGGTTGAGATTCTTCCCTTTCAAACCAGCAGACCAAAAACCAAAATTCCAGAACCAAAATAATCATGTGATAAAATTACACCATTAATAAATCAAACTTCACACCATCCGATAAACCAGGACATATTAGTTTGTTTCTATTTTCCTAAATGTTTGCCCAATATGCTGGGTGACAATTTAAGCTTGTATTTAATATAAATTTCAGGTAGAAAACATATGAGAAAGCTAAGAACAGTCATTTACAAACCCAGAAGGAAAAAGGTAAGAACTTGCTTCAAAAAGACATTTTCAATGCACACGCAACATCACAGGGCACTTAAACAATCTGCCTGCTAGTTCTTTAACACAAGAATACGTTATCCTACCAACTAATCAAGTTCTGTTTATCACACATAAGCCACACAATTCCCAATACCACGTAAGAAAGAAGAAGAATATTACGACGCCCTATTTCGATTTCTCCTTACAGAGGACGCGACGAAGAACCGTGGATCGATCCTCATACTACTCGAGATAACTTAAAAACATTACCTGGACGCCGGTGCCGATTAACCTCCTCGATCCCACCTTCGCCCAGTACGTCGCGTCTGCTGAGTGAGAAATCGCGTCGATAAGGAGAAGAACGAGTTATGCCCTAACTTTCTGAAATTCGCTAAGTGTGAAATCTATTCGCCACCAAGGAGGGGAAGAAGAAAGCCCGCGCGTGTGGCCCTGAAATCGTTCTTAGTTTTCCAAAAGCGCTATAGCGTTTTTACATTTTTTAAAATCCAAAATATCTTTTAGATTTAAAAAATAAATTTAAAAACCATTTGTTACGAAGCACAATCGTAACTAATGTTATTTTGAACAAAGTCTACCAACTTCGTTTTTGTTACGGATTATTTTGCGTAATTAAAGAACCTGAAACGTTGACCAAGAAAATATTTTTTGGTCACGGAAGTTGTCGTAATAAAAACCATTATTTGTTACGATGTTATTGTAACGAACCGTCGAACCGTGGTGAAAGACAATTTTTTTGGTAGCGTGGTATTTGGTTTAATCAGACTTTGAGTTTTAGTTGTCATGTAATTGATGAGTAGGTAGTTAAAATGGTGTAATCAAGGGATAAAATGGTGCCTGGGTGGCGGGTGGCCTATCACTTAGGCAGTGTGATTTAATCTCTCTATGTGTTGGTATTTTTAAATGAAATAAAATGGTATGTTGCTTTCAAAAAAAAAAAAAAAAATTATAGATTCAAAAATTGGTACTGGCATTTCATCCCTTGTATTGCATGTATATAAAGAAAAGTTAGGATTATGATAAGAAGAGATGTGCAAGTCTAATGTAAATCTAGAAGCACAAGTCATTGCGAACAAATTGTACAGACCACTTTTATGCAAGCACTTTCTTTGAAGGACTTAGAGACATGGATGGACAAACAAGGTCCGTTAAAATTGTTCGCATACCCACCTAAAGTAGTAAATAAATAAATCATTAAAGTATCTACGTATATTCTATTTTTGTTCAAGGAGGGTATGTTGATGTTAGCCCCAAGGTCAAATCCACAAGTTACTGGTAAACCTATAGTTGACGACAAAAACTTGGGGGGTGCATGTATTTATTTGGGATTTTATTGGATTTCTTTTTTTATTTTAAAAAGTTTATGAATTTATGTGGATTTAAAAAATCCGCTTAGTGAATGCAGTGTTTGATGCATTTTATTAATTGATTTAAATGAATTCTTATATATTTGATTGAATTTTTTATGAATTTATTTAGATTTTGTAGAATTGTAAAATAATTTTTTTTATTGATTTATATAATTATATAAATTTATGTAAATACAAATTTTACAAATATAATATATTTATTATATAGTATTATATTTTTATAAAATATAGGTAATATTAATGATATGGAAATATTGTAACATATATAATACTACTATTTTGTATATTAATATTTTTAATTTTATAATTTTTATTATATTTTCATTCAATATACCAATTTATTTTCATATTTTTTATTAGTTATTATTATTATTATTATTATTATTATTATTATGTATATAAATTTTGTAAAAACTAAATATATAGATTAAAAAGTTAAAGGTAGAAAAATAAGATATTTTCCATTCCATATGAGAAGATCCCCCAAACCGGCGGCGGAGCTAGAATTGTGCCTCCCAGGGGTTTAAAGGTTTTATTGAGGTAGAAAAATAAGATATTTTTATTATTTTGAGCAAAATTAATTGTTAAAATGTGTATTTTAACGTGTTCAATTAATATAAAAATATTAATCTGATAAAAAAATGATCGAATCTGAATAAACAATTGGTTTATATAACTAAAATATAGTCGACGTAACGGCGGAGACGACAGCTGGGGAGCTCGTGACCCCCCGGGCCCTATGTGGCTCTACCACTGCCCCGCTCTTTGAAAAAAAAGAAAAAAATTAATTTTTTATTTTATAAACAATTACTTGTTTCTAGTTACCTTTCTTAGTTGCTCGATTAGAATCGTATACAGTTGAATAATAAAGTTTTAATAAGCTAAGTTCATAATTTTAAATACATGCAATATGATGTTTGTAATTACTAAGCAAATAATGACAATTGTTTTGTTTGTGCATTGAAAGTACTGATTGAATTGTTGTCGCTCAAAATATTTTTCAACAGCTTATCGGAGCGAGCTGCCAAAAATTGGGTAGGTCCTTCGGATTCTTTAAAAAAGGATCCAGAACCGATCAAAGAAAGTTAAAGGAAGGTGGATAAAAATTAAAGAAATCAAAGAAAGAAAATAAAGTAAAGAACAAAGAAGCAGACAATCATAAATCAAAGAAAAGAAAGAAGCAAAGCAAGGCAGGAGAGGAAAAAGTAAAACTTTGCGTGAATATTGAGAGTAAAATTATGATGTATGTGTATGTCCTCTTTTACTACATAATACATATATATATACTAAATCTCACAAAATCTAATCCAATTAGGATTCTATCTTATCCAAATCTTATCATTATCCAAAGATTATTTCACTCCATATATTATTTCGCCTTGACTCGTCAACTTGGGTTTGGGCCTTCGTTTGGGCTGAAAAATTGGGTTGCCTTCTGTTTCATTACACACATAATTTCTTAAGCCCAAATAATATATATATTATTTGGGATAACAAATTGCTCCCCACAGAAGTGTCGTTCTGATCAAAATGATAATATCACTTCTATGAACTTTTATCAGATTGATACTTCTATAGAGTATTTGATTATTTGTCTTCATCGTCATTTAACTCTATGGGTGGTGATGTCCTCCATTCATTGTCCCATATTGATGGAGAAAATTACAAAAAATATCCCACATGTATACCCCATTGTCATTTTTATCATGTATTTATCTCGCTGGCAAAATATATCGTACATGTTTGAAAAAATCGTTATTTATGTCCTTTTGTCGCGCGTGACGTTCACATCACATGCGGCCACGCGCGGCCAAATGATGAAATAATGACTTTTGCAAACATGTAGGATGTATTTTGTCAATGAGATAAATAAAGAAAAAAAATGATAATGAGATATACATGTGGATATTTTTTGCAATTTTCCCCATATTGATGGATAATATCTTTTCAAATATTTTCCATTAATAGCCATTTTCAGCTTGTCACCTTCAGGGTACATCTGCCCATTTGCTCCTCGAGATGATTTAGCTGCGACGATAAAGGGGCATTCTCAATTAGCCAACCATTTTCCCCAATCTCAGTCCTTCGGTGCTTCGTGCAAAATCACTTTCCAAACAAGATCACCTTTGTGGTAAGTAATTGGTCGGCCAATTTATTGTATGCTCTCTCAACTTTCCTTTTCTTTATACGAATATGATCGAATGTGTGCAACGTTCTCCGGGGGCTATTTTTAACTCCTATAGTAATAATCGGTCATCTTCGCTCATGGGAAGCTCAGCTTGTTGTACGGTTCGTAATGATGGGACTGTAATATCTAAAGATAGTACCGCATCATGTAAGTTAGTCGAAAAGATTTACTTCCTATAACCGACGATTTTGCATTCCGATACGCCATAACATCTCTTCAAGTGTGTCATGCCAACCCCTTGGGTTTTCCTCCAAAGATTTTTTAATCATCGAAATCAGCATCTTGTTAGTCGCCTCGGCCTGTCCATTAGCTTGGAGATAGTATGGTGATGAGTGGATTAATCGTATGCTATATTGAGCTACGAAGGATTGTACTTTAACACTTGTAAATACAGTCCCTTGATCCGTCATGATGGTCTGAGGTATCCCAAAATGATGAATAATATATGATTTTTAATAAATGGAATTACTTGCGCTTGCTTAACTTGCATCAAAGAGATTGCCTCGACCCATTTAGTAAAATAGTCGGTCGCCAAGAAAATAAAAAAAATGTCATTTGGATAAAGGGGGATATATTTTACCAATAATATCCATAGCTCATCCTTGGAATTACCATAGTTTAATAATTGAATGCAACTCTTCGGCGGGTGCTCGTCACATGGGGCCATGTCGTTGGCATGCCTCGCATCCCCTAGCATACACAACACAATCACATTACATAGTAGCATAGCAGCACCGGACCGATGTGCGCCTGCAATGGTTCATGATACTCGGCCATAACCTTTTTTGATTCATCACTGGCCAAACAGCGAGCTAATGTTCCGTCGGGGCATCAATGATATAGAGCTTGATAGAACAGGGTATACCTTAGAAGCTTCTCTCCAATCCCCTTTGAATTAATCTGATTTGGATCCATCAATGCATCAATATAGGGCTGCCAGAATTCAGCCTGACCATCGGTTTAGATGCAATTAATACGAACAGCCCCCTTCTTTCGTTTAAATTCCAACGCCTGCTGTGCGAGATCATTTTCCTCGTTATTCTCCTCACGAGGGATTTCTTCCAAAGTAGCTTCTTGAAACTGCTGTAGCAGTGCTCGTACTTCACGCAAGAGGCCGATAAGATGAGGTTCTCGGTGTTTAAATTCACCCAAAGCTTGTTGGATAATGAGCTGTGAGTCGCCTTGAATTTGTACAGTTACGACACTTTTTTACTCCAAAAACTGCAAGGCAAGCAACAACACCTCATATTCAGCTTCATTGTCAGTGCATGCTTTGGGAAGTCGATGTGCGAAACTCCATACTCCACCGTCGGGGCTTGTGACGACAACTCTTGCACCAGCCGAATCTGATGCACTTGAACCGTCGAAAGTAACATTCCATGGTTCCAATCCAGCATATTTGGCTGAAATATCCGAGGTTTGGACCATTCCTGGATGTTCGGCTAAAAAGCAGCAATAGCTTGCCCTTTCACAGCTTTTAGCGGTTCATAGGTGAGTGCCAATGATGAAAGTTTCATAGCCAATTTGACTAATTAACCACGCAAAACACAGCGACTCAAGAGGTAGTGTAGAAGATCGAATTTGCATAGAACTTTCATCTCAGAGGGCATAATATAATTTTATCTTGAACTTGCATAGAACTTTCGTCTCAGAGGGCATAATATAATATTCTAGCTTCATGCAGACATAATACAATGATAAGCATAATATTTCAATCGACAAATACCTAGTCTCTGCATCATTCAACGTTTTACTGAGATAATATATAGTACGCTCCAGCCCCCCATCATCGTCTTGCACTAATAAACATCCAATGTATAGCCGCAATATATAATTTTAATGGCCATCCATGGATGAGTGGAGTTAAAACCGGTGGCGAGTTGAACACATTCTTAATTTGTTGGAAAACCTCTTGCTGC